TTTCCACGGAGCACAGTGCCATAGTGCTCACTCCCCAGTTTTATCATGTTTTTCAGGTCAGGACGTCGGGCTGGGAGCATGAGCGTGACGTGACGGGGACTTCAGGATATTCATGTTTTGGACTGTATAATTATTATGATAACTTACGCTTCCGCTTATGATATTTTGATGACTTGTGAGTTGTGACGATACTTTTGATGACTTTTGACGTACTCGTTCTAACGAACTTATCTTTTGACGAACTTTTGAGAACTTATGATTTCAGTAAACCGGACGATTTTATTAAAATTAAAACAACGGTTTTCTAAGTTAAGTCATGATTTTTAAAGGTAGCACCCCGAATCAGTTTTCGCAAAGTAAAAAGGTTTTATTTTAAATAACTTTGCGAAATTTGCGCTACTCTGATTTTACGATAAGGAGGGGTGTTACACAGCATCCCTCATGCACTTCTCGTAAAACGTACCGACCCTCCTCTTTGGATACACATCTTAAATGTGGACCTGCATACGATCGCTTATAGAGGACCCCACCTTGCTCGAAAAACCTCCTCACCACCTTCATGGTCCCTTCCCGCAACTCCTTCTGGATTGGGGCCCTCCAATCTTCTACCTCCTCGATCTCTGCTACCTCGACTTCAACCGCGCTCCTCTCCATATGGAGTAGGGTCACACTCCTACTCTTACAATCGACCAAGTTCTGCGCGATTTTAGACAGCAAATCAGCTCGACCATTCTCCCCTCGAGGTATCTGTATTAACTCAAATGTCCCAAATTCTTCCTTTAACTTCCTCATGTTGTCCACATGACGCTGTAGCCGATCCTCCTTGATCTCGAAACCTTCTTGGAATTGACCGACCACTAATTGAGAGTCGGAATGGACCTGGATTTTTTGAGCGCCTCCGGCCAGAGCCAATTGTAATCCCTTTGTCACCGCTTCATACTCCGCCTCGTTGTTTGATACTCGAAATCCCATTTTGACGGCAAATTCTAAGTAATCCCCCTTGGGCGAAATCAAGACTATCCCCAAGCCAGCCCCACTCCTCCACACCGAGCCGTCCGCGAACAACTGCCACACTCCTTCGTCATCTTCCTCCTCCTTCGTACCTTCCTGTATGAAATCGGCCAAAACCTGCGCTTTGATCGCCCTCCTTGGTTCATATCTTATAGAGTATTCACTCAGCTCGACCGCCCACTTTACTAGCTGACCAGATACTGCTGGTCGACCTAAAGTCTGCTCCAATGGCATGTTTGTGCGCACCTTGACCTTGTGGTTTAGGAAGTATGGCCTCAGCTTTCGGACTGTCACGACCACCGCCAATGCACACTTCTCAATTTTCGAGTATCTAACCTCTGCTCCTTGCATTACTCGACTAACATAGTATACTGGGAATTGCGCCACTCCCTCTTCTCGCAATAATACTGAGCTTACTGCACTCTCGCCCACCGATATGTAGAGCACAAGTTCCTCTCCATGAATTGGCTTGGCCAGTAAGGGCAAGTTAGCCAACGTCTCCTGCAGCTCCTCGAAGGCCTTCTGGGCTTCCTCCGTCCACTGAAACTTCGAGCTCTTCTTCAGGGTTTTGAACAGAGGGCTGCTCTTTTCAGCCACCTTGGAAATGAATCTGCTTAGCCCTGCTATTCGACCAGTTAGTATTTGGACTTCCTTCACATTGGCCGGTGGCTTCATTTCGATCACAGCTCTTACTTTCTCGGGATTCACCTCTATGCCCCGCTTTTCACCATGTATCCCAAGAACTTCCCTTCCTTTACACCAAACGAGCACTTAGCCGGGTTGAGCTTCATGCCGAACCTCCTTAGTTTTTGGAAAGTCTCCCTTAGGTCGCCCACGTGGTCCACCTCCATCTTACTCTTTACCAGCATGTCATCGACGTACACCTCCATATTCCTCCCCAACTGGTCTTTGAAAATTTGGTTGACCAACCGCTGGTAAGTGGCCCCGGCATTCTTTAATCCAAACGGCATGACTACATAACAATAGGTGCATTTGCTTGTTATGAAGCTCACTCTCTTCCAGTCTTCTTTCGCCAAGGGGATCTGATGATACCCCTGCGAGGCGTCCATCAAGCTAAGCAACTCGCACCCCGCCGTGGAGTCTACCAGCTGGTCGATCCTTGGCAGCGGGTATAGATCTTTCGGGCAAGCCTTGTTTAGATCACGGAAATCGATGCACATCCTCCACTTTCCTTCCGGTTTGGACACCATTACCGTGTTAGATAACCACTCAGGGAACTGAATCTTCTTAATGTGCCCGGCGTTCATCAGCTTGTCGACCTCCTGCTCGATGATTTTGTCCATTTCCGCACCATGATGTCTCCTCTTTTGCTTTACCGGCCTCACACTGAGATCAATATTAAGTCTGTGCTCGATCACCCTGTCTTCGATCCCCGTTAGTTCATCCGTTGTATACGCGAAAACGTCTGTAAATTTCCTTATTAAATTGATCAGCTTCGACCTGATTGGCTCTCCCAAATCTTTTCCAATCCTGAATTTTCGGTCATCGCACCCCTGCACCATTTGAATTTCCTTAATCTCTTCTCAGGGCTGTATGTCTATCTTCTCCTTTCCCTTGTCTTGTCCTCCTCTTTCCCCTTTCGCTCGTGACCCTCCTGGTCGATCAGGCCTCACTTCCTTGCCTTTCAACTGCCTTTCTGCCATCTGTTTGTTGTTACTGACTGTGGTTTGATAGCAACTCCTCGACGTGAGCTGGTCCCTCGCAATCTCGCCTACATTTTCCCCCACAGGATATTTGATCGTCATGTGGTATGTAGACACGACCGCTTGGAACGCATTTAAACCTGTCCGCCCTAAAATGATATTGTAAGACGATTCTGCTCCGACCACTACAAACCGGATCATTCTTACTTTCCTCGAGTCGCCCGACCCCAATGCTACGGTCAGGCTCACTTCGCCCATTGGCATTACCTCTCCACCGTTAAACCCGTATAAAGCTGTCGCCACCGGTTTCAATTCCATATTCAGGTGTTTGTTGATCTGCGCAAAACAATCGTAGAACATCACGTCGACTGAGCTCCCCGTGTTGATGAACACTCTTTTCACATCAAAACCTGCCACTTCGGCTGTGATGACCAGTGCGTCATTGTGGGGTAACAAGATTCCCTCCACATCTTCTGCTCGAAAGCTAATCACAGGCATTCGACCAGTTATCCCGACCTCTTCTCTTTTACGCTTCACCGCCCGCACATGCCCCTTTCGTGCATTATTCGAATCACCATCCGTTGGCCCTCCTAAGATCATGTAAATCGTGCCCCTCTTCGCAGGCACCTCCTCCCTCAGCTCCTCTCGACCATCGTTTTGTCGCCTCCTTCTTTCTTTCCTAGCATCATCTTCTCCATCGTCGTCCTTATCACTCCTCGCCATAGAATCTTCCCTGCACCTTCTCCTTTCTTTACCCCGTGGTCGATTGCGAATGATAAATTCTTTCAGGTGCCCTGCCCGTATGAGACGCTCGATCTCGTCTTTCAAGTGCCTACAATCTTCTGTATTATGTCCATAATCCCTATGGAATCTGCAGTATTTATTCGACCTAGGTTTGGTCGGTCCCTCGAACCTGGTCGCTGGCCATGTGACTTCCTTGCTTTCCAACTTCTCCTCTATGGCCGCCAAGACTTCACCCATCTAGGCGTTGATAGGAGTAAAATGGTTATATCTTTTTCCGTTTGGTAGTCGAGGTCGCCCTTGCCAGCGATCTTCTCGCTTCTCTCGGAATGAATTTCGCCCATCCCTCCTGGGCGACAGCCTCTTAAAAGATCCTCTTATTGGGGAATTTTTTCTAGGTGATCCCCTCCTGGGCGAGCTCATCTTTCCCTTCTCCTGCTCAGGTTTCACAACGTCCTCGAGCTTGGCAAACTCTGCTTCCGTTTCTTCCAAATTAATGTACTTCTTGCATCTTTTGAGCACCTCATCGTAAGTTCGAGCAGGCGTCTTTGCCAGCAACGTTCGACATGGTCCTGGCCGTAGACTCCTAATCAATCCTCCTGCTTTCACCTCGTCACCCGCCGTGGGCACCTCTAGACACATCTGATTATATCGAGCAACATATTTCTGTAAGGATTCTTTCTCGCCTTGTCTCATTGCCATCAGTGTAAGGTATGTCTTCTCCTGGGCGACCGCACTTGAGTATTTATTAGTAAGTTGTCCTGCGAAATCCTCAAAGTCTCTGATCGAACCTGGAGCTAATTGGTGGAACCAGTCAAGCGCGCCTCCCCGTAAGGTCGACAGGAAGGCCCTGCAGCTGACCGGATCTCAGTACCTGTGTAAGACGGACATGTTTTTTAATGCTCTCACGTGCCTCGACGGGTCGCTCGATCCATCGAAAATCAGGTTTATCTCCCGGAAACTCGCAGGTAGCGGCGCAGCTAAGATTTCCCTCGAGAATGGGTGTCCTTGAGCACGTCTTTCCGGCCTTCCTTCCACCTTCTCCTGCAACTGCCTAAGTTGTTCGGCCATCCTCTCCATCGCTCTATCTCTGTACTCTCCTCCTCCGCCGTAACTCGACACGTCCTCCTTTTGTGTCCCCTGCACCGTTGTCGGCGCGGTAGCAGCCTGGGATGTCTGGTGAGTGGCTTGTTGCACAGCCTGTGCTGCCGCATCGGCCACCATCCTCTGCACTTCTTCTCTTGTCATGGCCACTACTTGCTGAGCGGGGGGTTGGGGTGCTCCTCCTGTTGGCGGCATCATGGTCTGTGTTGTTGGCCCTACCTGCTGCGTCACGACTGGACCCGCTTGCAACGGAGTGAGGATTGCCGCTGATACCACCTCACGAGTTTCGTGCTCTTTGCTCGTGCCTGCTCCCCCACCCAAGATCGTTGTACCCTGGGGAATCGGCGTCGGGGTCACCGGTGTTTGCGAGGGTCCGGAGAATCCGGGTTGTAATATCCCGACTTTTATCAGTATAATAATATTTCAGTTCCGATATTATTTTTTTCGGAGTTAATTAATTTCAGTTATTCCAGTCAGAAATTACCGGAACTATTTTCGA